TGAGTCCTTTTGTGGCACCTTTCAACAAAACAGCCTAAATAAAGACCTTCCAAGTAATTATACTTTTTGTACAGATCATGAAGACAATTTGTGTTCGGTACTTCTACTTGTTTTTGAAAAGTGGGGTCAGGTTTCTTTATGATTCCGATTCAGTTAGGCTGAAAGTAAGGGCGCCAAGTCGCTTAAAGTCACACAGGACATACATAAATATGAAAAGCTCGCTCTAAAGTGCAACACGCATGCAGTTAACGTTGGCATTTTCATTCACTCCTAGATGAAATGATATGCTTGAAATGAGGTTTACATAATGTGACTGTCTTTGAACTTCCACTTGGGAACTAGAGGCGCTTGAGAATGCACATTATTCTCCATTTAGTCACAAAATGAATGCTCCAGAGCGAGTGACCTAAGCTCACATGGGAAGGTTTGTTATCCCGGCTTTAGTCTTACTTATTCACGTGATCAGGGTTTTTGTACCGCCTGTTCCTGTGTCAGGAGTAGCTGACCAAACCCAACAACACTACTTTATGACAACGGTCATTCGATATTACATGAAATGTTCCTAATCTGGTGTACTACTTAAAGGCTCGGTCCAGAGGAAGGCCAGATTTTAAGAGGTGTGTATGAATGTATTGGCAGTGAGATATTACTAGGTTACAAAAAGATGGCTACCTATAGTGTTGAGCCGAAGTTACGCAAAACTGACCAGGAGTTGTACAGAATTTTCAAATTTCTGTTTGATTTCTCCTTTTGATTGCCGTAGGAGGCATGTCCATATTTTAGTAAGTATAACGCTTTCCGTTTGGTCACCCCTCTTCATACCTATATGTCATAACTAACAATGGCTAACCACGTATGCATTCACACTCCTTCGATTGTTTTGTGACAAAACCATAAGCTATTCCGCGCAGGACAAATAGTTCGATGGATTAGCAAATAATAGGAACACCAAACTGTCATTTCACTTAATGGAGGGTGTTCAACCGAAAACTGCCTACCATTTATCACGTCTTGACTCGTTTACAGTGAGTATTACTCGGTTCATTTCCCTCGACCTAGTAGAATTGAGTTCTGTTCTGTTGTTCTGTTCACGTTTCAGTGTTACTTCGTGGGTAAGAAGCACACCACCTTACTCGATTGATGAGGAATTTTGTTGGCATGGTGAATCCACATAAAATACCGGTTCATTCAGTGTTACTTAGATAAAAGTTTCTTACAAAAGTGGAGAGTTGTTTTCACATTGTGAAAATTGATTTGCAATCAACGTTCCCTTCTTCAGAACACTCGTTAGACGATGGCTTTCCTGAGGGAAGTGAGGTACAAAAGTGGACGCAGGGTGGAAAATTACCCCACGATTTGATACGTCACCGACCACATATGCAGCGATGCGGAATAAACACTAGAAGCCAGTCCTCATCTAACTTTGGGTACGACATGAGTGTCGTGAAAGACGTTCGGTGACGCAAATTCATGTGATGAAGTGGCTTTTGGAGTATACATGAGCTACGTTCACCCCACCATCGACTCTTTATGTGAGACCATATACATCCAAAATGACCAGTTTAATAGTGTTCAACACTTCCTAGAGTGATCTTGACCTATTCCCACTGAACAGATTACGCAGCCCGGTTTCCGCTTGGTGTCACTTGTCTGTGCCTAGGCACCATATCAACATTTGGAAAGTGAAGGGTCTTGCAGTCTACGCATACACATACGTTGGTAAGAATGAGAAAAGGAAACACAAAAATCACAGAAATAATCAAGCCATCCACCAGTTACTGTAGTATCAGATAGACCAACAATGTCCGTTGGCAAAGGGCCTAAACTGCGCTGTGAGCAGAAAGGTTAAAAGAGCGCAGGGGATTACCCTAGTGTCGAATCGATGTTTCAAAACTTCCTTCAGCGGATGATGACAAACTACCGGTACAATTGGTCGTGGTTCTGAAATCCAACCAAACGGGAGCTCCGAATATTGCGGAGAGTGTTGAACACACTGAGACGGGTAGAAAGTATTGCCAGTAACAAGGCCGATAAAGGTAAAGGCACAGTAGTAATGAACAAGATCGACTATCTTCAAAAGATCGAGTAACATCTCGCTGATGGAGCCTGCTCACAAACCACCAGTGGCACTATTACATCGATAGGGAATAGGAGTAACCTTGAAGTTGGTGGATACCTAAAATCCATAATAAATCATTTAGGGTAAGGTTAATGGTACTTCTTGTACCCAGAAAGTACGATTTAACCACGATTTTACGGACTAGGAACTGTATGTAGAAAACCAAATGCAACGATTTTACTGAGGCTTACATAGGACAGACGGCCAGAAGACTATACCTCAGGATTGGCGAGTATACGAGAAGGATAAAAAAACTACCGAGGAATGTTGGAAAAAACCAGGCACTGTTCAAAGACTCACAAATGGCGGTACACGCATTAGACACAGGACATGGAATAGATATGAGAGATGCGTAAGCATTAAGACACGGACTGCGATTCACACCACAGGACTGATAGCCGAAGCAGTGGAAATTACCAAGCAGCGGAGCGTTAATAGAATCGAGGGTCTGAAACTGGCGAGCTTATGGATAAACCGAGTTGACACGTGACTATATGTGGTTGTAAATGTACCTGGAATCATTAACAAAAAGGGGGTGGAAATCCCGACCCGACCAAAGTTCACGGACTCTCCATTGTAGCACTCGCTCATCCATACAGACTTACAAAAATTGCAAACGATGCTCAATAGACATCTCCACGTGAAGCGAACCGGAAGAGCTAGACTCGAAGCTGGACCCAAGTCCATCTGCCTTAACACCTGCCAAACCCGGCCTAACACACAAAATCCCATGACCGACACCCAACACAGATTTAGCATGACTTGGCTGATTGGTTCCTCTTCCTCCCGAAATCTTATCCGGAATAACCATCTGTAGAATAGCATAAGCGAGAGACCCATTTGAGTCTCTCGTGAGAACCAAACTGATTTACAAATGATTGCATTCCTCTGACCATTTCGTTTTAATGCAGCGACCCGATGTGATGCTTATTCCAAATACAGATGCGTGATACTGAAACCGTATTTCGTCGTTTTAGTTGCGAATTGCCAGCATTGAGGATGAGTTGTGGCACTCGGCCAACTGGTTTCTGTCTTTTTTGATTTGGTACGTTACCTCCAGATAAAAACCAGTGTGTTACCGTTTATTAACCTTAAAAGTGAGCCTCTTTGACGCGATACACCACTCATAAGGTAGGTAAAAATTCTTCAAGAGCCCACGACCGTTTTCTTGGGGCTCATCAGGTAAGCGCAGTCCCCTAGTTTTCGTTCTACTTGAACTTAAATGGGAAGAACTTAGCGAAATGCACTCGTCGAAATGTATTTCTTGCAATGTTACCAAAAATACTAATGTATTACACCTGGTTCAGCGCACCACATATCCTGGTAATACAGTGTGTGTGGATCCACACAGTGATACGCTTCTCTGAAATTTTACGGCTACCTTTAACGTTTCCACAAGGTTGCTGAGAAAGGACCATGTTCAGATTACACGGTGAGTTCGGGTTACCTGACTTTGAATAATATTTCGTTTAGCTCCATGGTAGTCTACCCAAATGAAAAGCGTATGAATTCCTGTGCGTGTCTTCCAGGAAAAATCATTCATGACGTTTCTCGATTGTTACAATCGGATATGATTGATTGCCTCCCGAAACGTTCCCCCAGTAACAATGATGTGAATGCCCGCACACGAATATCGGCATATTCTTCTGATCTGCCGATCCCAGAGGTATCATTTTAAGTCAAACCAAACTAAAGTTTGTATGATTTTTTTCCATCTTTGGGCGTTTTGCTGTTCCTTAGGTCACTCTTCACTTCCTATTTTTCGTGTACATGTCGTTTGCGTACCTATATAATTAACATCTATATCCCGGGTGAAGTGGTTTTTTACAAATGTTTGCCAGAAATGATAGATGAGGGAAATTTACCGATTCGCCTAACGTTTTAAGGACAAATTACTCCGCCCCGAGGAGACGAAATATGGGTGGTCTTACCACAAGAGATTTTGAGATGAATGAATAGCAACCTAGAATCGCATGCTCGGGAAGATGGCTTTATAAACCCAGTCTGCATTCTTACGCAAAGTTGTGCTCAGTCGACTTTTGCTTGTGTCAAACAGGATTATACTTACAGGACTGGTTAACTGAGGAGGAACGACCAAGAATCACACACTAACCTGTTTATATATATATATATATACCCATATGCACATGTTCTGCGCTTAATCCTTTCGTGTACATTCCACAATATTCACACTCAAAGAATGGTCCATGGGGTTGGTCGCTAAATCCCGATAGTATCTGATCCGTTACGACTTGAAGCCAAGGAAAGTGGACACTGATTCGTATCGGTGGCGCTTGATGTACATTATTAATTTGTACTCATGAAAGGACCCTGAATAAACAGGTGTTATTGACCTGAGTATTCCACGAGAACTTTGGCCGGGTCAAGTCGCCGAAGATGGGCGTGGGAGAATGCGTTGTGCGTTGTTTTGTACGGACGGAATTTGTAAACGTGAGGCTAACTTCCAGAATTGTATAGCTTGTGGACAGTATTGTCAGGCCTGGTATCTATCGATGGCCTTAAAAAGTGTGGAAAGTTGGAGCACTAATGCTAAATTTTCGGAACTCTTCATCCCTCACTGGCAAAGTTGTCAAACTATTTCTGAGGGTGTCTTATGGTAAATCCTTTCGGATCGGCGAATTTTTCTGGTTGGTTGGCACTGTGGTTCATGGCCTTTTGTTCCTTATGAACTTGCAAGTGTCAAGAGTTCTGAATGAAGTTGACCCATATGAAGTGCTACTCATTGGTTTGGCTAGCATGAATGAAAGTCAACCGGTTCAACCTGGGGCAAAGAAGACTATTGTTGCCTTTAAAGAAAGTGTGAAGTAAAACGCTGTCCTCAAGCAATTTAGCCACAGTTGCTTTAAAATCAAGTGCCTCTTACCCATGAATGGCCCGGAGAAACTTTCGCTGATGAGTTCGAACCTTGGCAGCGTCCACTCGGTTGACTAGCTTTGTATACTTGTAGATAAGCCAGGTTTCACGAAGTACGTTTGCGGCGTAATTTTTGACCTGGAATGTAAATGCCGGTTACAAACGAATCAGGTTTTATGTACAAAGTGGATAACTGTTTAATTTTTCATTGATATACAGCTTCCAAACTACATGCGAGTGTCTTTTTAAGCGAATGAAAAAGGGATGAATACGCTGTCCGCTTTGTGACACAGTTAGTCAACAGAACCTTGCTACCATTGTGGGGTTTATCACATATGCGCGGCAAAATGGGTCGTGTTACCCGCTGGCTAAAGGGTGTACTCCGCTGAAGTGAAAAGCATATATTAGGTGTACAGTGATTTATGTTTTTTTCATGGACTGGCTGATTTTGTTGATTCCCCTGCGTCAGGTAATAATCATTAGTTTACGGAAAACTGAAAACGTAAACATCTTTGCGTCATTCACGGCCTGGAGCAACATCTCGTGTACTTTTAGACTGAACAAGGTCAACCCGCCTGATTCAAACCGTATTTCCGGAACAAGCGAATATATACTGGCGGGATAACCACAAACGGACTGAGCGATTTGGGGTAACGAGGTGGAAGTTTCTCTGTCGGTGATTGAATAGCCGCCAAATATAGTCCATCATTTTGCTCTACCATCGTTTTTCCTGTTCGCTCGATGAGCAGCCAAGTTAAATGGAAATCTAGTTTTAGGCTAATCTGCGAGGAACCAGAGAATCCTGGTTCAAATTTATACTCGATCTGATACGTCAAGAAGTACAGTTTGAATTCGCATGCTGTCTTCAGTGATGGGCTTGAAGTTGGCCTTGATGGAAATGGTCAGGTGAACTGCACAACCGAATATCGCATCGAATTCTTGAATAAACGTGAATGCGAATCGCTGAGCATTAGTTTTGCGTATAATGTAGTCCATGGGGCCCACGGG